ACAACAATAATTGAGCAGAAACAACTATCACAAGTATTCACAAAAACATCGTAGCCACACTTCAAAATCTGAAAAAGTAGAAGAAAAACGAGTTGATGGTCACTTCTGTACCGCGCGCAGTAGACAACCACTACGACGAACATTCCTCTTTCATCATTTCAGCATCAATCATGATGACGGGTGAGTATGTATTTCCGTTGAATATGATGCTCGCCATCTAGAGACTGTATAGTGTATAGATACCACGTACTCACCGCAACCGGGGGTACCTGTTTGAACATGCATATCCAGTACAGCTCGTATTTCTTACTGTATAAAAAATGAACGTTTGACACCTATGACATCCTAGAAATATATTTAGCTATGTTGGACACATTTATGTGAACATAACTTTGTTTTTATGCAGCTCCCCTCACATAGGGTCTATGAATAATATCAGTTCATCTATGCTCCCATGATTCAGAAGTTTATGAACAATTCATCCAACTTGGACRATGAGATCAGCCGATCCAATGCCAGATACCATCAATATCTGCAGGATGACCCAAAGGAGCCAGCCACTAGATCAACTGCTGTACTCGGGTAAACTGGCTGTTCAGTGACAAGTGAATATTAGATATTATATTGACTGAAAGAACGATTTGCTGAGCTGCACAGTGGTACGTAATAAATATTTTGGGTGGAGCACTGTGGCTTGTGTGTGTTTTGGCTACGAGCCACCACTGGTATAGGTAAATAATAAGTTACATATTATTACATAAAAAATGTAAAAAACAATTTACATTTCGTTCCAATCAGATTAAATAATAGTTTTATAAAAATCACTACTACCAGTTCAGAACGATAACGATGATACGCTGTAGCGTTTCATTCCGGCGTTGCATAGGCATACGTTTCACCGGGAGAACCAATACTTAGGTGAGTATTTTTATTAAATTCACAAATAAATAAAATTACTATTCAAAACAATAATATATATAAAATAATTTCAAGTTAAGTATTTAACAGTTGTTAACAACAAATATTTGATCAAGATTTATCAAATTAAAATCTTTTAGTAATTGTAAAACATTTAAATTATACAAAAATATAAAAATAATATATTACTTATGTTACACATTGTTGTACAAAAAATAGTTACATAGTCATAAGCACACGATATTATCATTCTTATCGAACCTATAACTTTTTATACAGTTCTATACTTGTTTACATAATAAATTACTATTGTTATACATTTATATCACTATTTTCTTAACACATTATTATTAACTATTGTATAATATTAATTCAATAGTTAAATATTATATTATGATAATTATATATTTATATACATTTCAAACAATTGATAAGATAAAGAAAAAAGAAAATCAATTACATACTAATAAAATTCACATTTTATAATAAATCTATGTACATAAAATCTCACTATTTTAGGTTTATATACCTTATCAAATAAATAATAAATACATTTTGAATCGCTTGTTGGAAATCTATTTCTTTGTATAGGGGAGGTTTTTTCACATAAATCACCTTCACAATATTATGAACAATGCATTTAAAAATAGCGCACTCTAGTTTAATAGGACGTGACAAAAAAACTATAGTGAAGTAATTTGTCGGTTTGAATCTTATGGCGTTTCGAAAGTTTTATTTAACACAATTAGTTTGATATCATATTACGTACGTGTATTATATGATTTGTATTTATATGACATATAATATATATAAACAGCCATTTAAACCATTCGAATAGATAAATTAGGATCCAAGTATTTAATACAGATTAAAATAAAAAAATACAAAAATTGAGCAACATCAATAACAATATAACAACGACAACAACAACAAAAACAATGTTAATAATAAAACACATCGAAATCACATTTCAAAATTATAGGAAGAAGAAAACACGCGAGAACTGTCACCACGCCGCGCCAACTCACATGAGATGACRACCGGTTGACGGACGACTATAACGACCAATCTTTTTTGATGATATCGGCCCCTTTTTCACCGATCATGATGACGGGTGCGTTTGGGTTTCCACTGATTATGTTCGGCATGATAGAGGCGTCTATCACTCTGAGCCTGTCGATACCGCGCACGCGCAACCGGTGGTCGACCACCGCGTCTGGGTCTGAGTTCGGGCCCATTTTGCAAGTACCGGTTGGATGATAAATTGTGAACGTGAAATGGCGGAGTGCGCATTCCCAGTACTCGTCGCTGAACAGTTCGAACTTCTTGCACCCCGGCATGGGCGTCAGTAACGGCCTGGAATTGTATTTGCGAAACGCGGCCGTGTTGGAAACGTTGAACGCTATCCGGATACCGTCGACCAGCACCTGTACGTCTTCCCGGTGCGCGAAATAATTGGGCTCGATGACCGGATGTGCCAKCGGATTCTTGGATTTAAGCCGTACCCATCCGGAGCTTTTGGGGCGCAACAGTAGTGGTAGTAGAGTCCACGTCTCGGCGTTCACCAACGGCTTGTACACGGTATTGTACACGGCGTCCCGGAGCCCGGTGATCTTCCGGATCTGTTCGCCATCCGAGTTGACGGAACTGGGCGCGAAATGGAACTGTATGTCCGGAAACTCACCAGATGGATCAGCGTACTTGGTGTTGACGAACGCTAGGCCCTCGACGCCACTGGACGTCAGCGGGCCACGTTCGTTCATTATGTAGTCGAGGGCTACGGACGCGGAGGTGAACCGGGACTTTTTGAACGTGATCGGATCGTCGATGAGAAACGTCAACCCACCCAGGCCCACGTGGTCTTGCAGGTTGTGGCCCACTTTCAAGTCGACCACGGGCTTGATGCCCAGTTCGGTCAGGTGGTCGGCCGGCCCGACGCCCGACACCATGAGCAGCTGCGGTGACCCGATAGCACCTGCCGAAAGTATCACTTCCTTCCTGGAGGTGACCGTGTGCCGCTTKCCGTTTCGCAGGTACGTGACACCGGTCGCCCGGAGCTTGTCACTTCCACCGTTACCACCGGAAAAATGTATCCGGGTCACCTGGCTGTGCATGGACACATGTATGTTGGGACGTAGCCTAATCGGTCGGAGGAAAGCTTTAGCAGTGCTGCACCGGCTGCCTCGGCGCGTTGTGGTTTGCGTGAGCATGAACCCGTTCTGGTACTCACCGTTGATGTCACGGTTCTGGTAACCCAGCTCCTCGCCAGCGGCAACGAACGCTGTGGCCAGTGGTGTCCGCCACGGCGCCTCCGACACGGTCAGGTAACCACCRCGGGCGTGATACTTAGTCCGGGCCAGGTATGGGTTCCGGTTGTCTTCGGATTTTAGGAAGTACGGCAGTACGTCCTTGTACGCCCAGCCAGGGTTGCCGGCCGCAGCCCACTGGTCGTAGTCCCTTCGGTTTCCTCGCACGTACACCATTGCGTTGAGCACGCTGGAACCACCCAATACTTTTCCGCGGGGCCAGTTGCACCGATCGTGCACCATGGCCAAGCAGTATGGGTTGTCACTGGATGGAGGTGCCGTCTTGTACTGCCAGTCCATATCAGAAAGTTGAAGGTAGCCGACGAACGATGGCACGTCCGATATCTCCGTCTCGTCTCCGCCGGCCTCCAACACCAATACCGTCCAGTTTTGCACTTCCGACAACCTGTTAGCTACTACGGCACCAGCTGAGCCTGCACCAATCACTATGAAATCGTATTCGTCCAGTACCTGAAATACCAATATAACATTAGAGTTTATTAACGATTTACACGTCTATGGTATACATTATTATTATATATTATGTTTTGACCGTGCATCGGCTACTATTTTCGCCCCATGAAATCAGACTTGAAAAATAAAAGTTAAACTTAACACACACAATTATTTTCGTTTTTGTTTAAAATTTAACACTGTAAGCAAGTCCTGTGTTCATATTCATAGTAGTCCTATGTATAATATAATATATTCCAATGAATCAGTTATTTACCATGTGCAGAAGTACACGTCATATTTTCGACATATAAAGAATAAGCCATAAGCGCGGGCACAACTGGTTCGTTTTTTGATTGCCACCGCCATCGCTACAGCAACCAGTACCATGGTATTAATTACCTACTATTTTGTTCTTAATTTTTAGCTTCCACTGTAGAATTGTAGTGTGTTTGTTTTAAACCCATTTTATAAAAAATTATTCACATTATGAAAATGTCATTGTATGGATACTTTTAATGCAATATAATATAATGTACAAGTAATGGCAAGTGGAACATTTACGAAGAGTTTTAACTATTATATCTATGGTGTATGAATACATCGTAATAATATAACATAATGTAACTACTATATACACCTACTGGATTAGTTTATTTTTTTTTTTTGATTACAATTGCTGAACAGCGATAATTTCATTGATAATCATTTAGCTACATATCAATACTGGAACAATACGATCGAATTGCCGGATAATAACGAACGTCCTAGTTTTTACGCTCATCGATTAAAMCTTTAACGATTAACCTATACTTATCTCCTGGGGGGGAAATTTTAGATTTGTATACAAAACACAGGTACAATAGCAATCTATTCGTAGAGAGTTGAAGTTTGAGAGACAAGGGCATCTTAAACTATTGCAGAGTCACTGAATACATTCGAAATATACCATACATTAAAATAAACTAAAATAAATATTACAAAGTAATTAGTTATGTTTACATATTATAAAATATGTATAAACAAGTAATAACGATTGYGTACCATATTATAAACAAAATATTAATTTTAAAAATATTGGATAGGTACACTTATGCCATATGGTTAGAATAAAACGTTAGAAATAATTTGTATAGTTTTATGCAGCCAATAATGACAATAATAACAAAATCGTATTTATTTTTTGAACATATTCATTATTTTGCATATTATTACATTTGCAAAACAATATTATATCACTTCACAATTTTTATTTTGTTTCAAGTTGAAAACTTTCTAAATAGGTAAAGCTACTGAATTTATAATGTTATGTTACTTGTTTGCCAATATAAAATTTGTAGTATCTCTATTAAAATATTGTGTATGAATATATGATTATAACCCATATGCATAAGTAATAAGTAATCGGATTTTCAACTACATCTGCCAATAGAATATTATTATTCAAAGAATCATCTGTTATCTACCATATAAACTATGTACAATTAGTATCATATCTGTTATTTAATTTATATGTTGATATTCTAGCTTCAAATTAAGATYCATGGACGAAATAAATTATTTAAATATATTGGAATTATAAATACTTCATAATATAATTCTAATTTTAATAACCCTATTAAAAAAATAATGTTATAAATGCTGTTGTTAAAAACGTATTCAAATCAGAGAAGAAATATTAATATAAATAAGATTAAAAAAAAAATTAAAATAAAAAGCGACTAAGCAACGTTTTTCTATACAAATATAATATAATGGTGTTATGTTTTATTTTATTTAAAATCTAGAATAAGATTTTCTCCTAGTTTATACCTATTGGTATAAYATAATACTGAATTGTGTTTATAATAAAAATTTAACATTAGAATATTTGAGCTTGGTAAAAATAATTTTCCCACATTAAATAATATTTATATATTTATTTTAATGTAATTAATAATGTAATAATGTAATATATATATATATATATATTCTTTTTTTTCTTACCAAAAACTAAGAACTTAATTGCATTATTATTCGTAATTTAACATAGAAATTATCTCCATGTGAAATTATTGCATTTGACGCATTAAGGCATAATCGTATTTTACAACTATTCGAATATAATATAAYATAAATTATAAACGGATCTTTCTGTGAAAGTAAACAATATTTTAAGTACAGTACGTCTATTACATATGTATACTCGTATGTACGTTATTCAGAGTACTATCTTAATAGTATGTAGTTAGTAAGTAGTATAAACATGATTTATTTAGCCAAACGTAATCGTGTTAAGATTTACATACATCATCAAGTACGTGTTAAGCTCAAAAACCAGTATTTTATTACCTGATTGTTGTAATAATCCAATTCCTAACAATTTTATAACATAGAGGTAGTAAATAATGCTATATTATTATTGTTACTATAATGAATAATGACGATTCAACCACATTTCGATTTTATTCGATTCACAATAAATAGCGACACAATGGTTTTACACATTAGTTTCCAAATTAAAATTATTTRTATTATAAATGTTATCATATTATCTATGTTTAATTTTTTAAAAGAAAAAATATTTTAACTTATATCAACATATTATAAGTGTTAATAAATCAAAATTTATGACTTTGTGTTTGTAATAAAAAAAATTAATATTAAAATGTYGATTAAATATTTGGAAAACAAATGGTTTGAATGAAAAATGAAAGTAATCTGCACATGTTTTGTACAAACATTATATTAATCAACGATTGCATGAATGGTATATCAATAACAATAACTAGAATRTGGAGGATATCTATTATCTATACCTATTATACTGCAAACTGCAGCAATGTTAAGATTAATGATTTGTGTTATGTAACTAATATTTACTTGTTTACAAAGGAAGAATTAATCAATTTATTAGTCGAAAATTCAAAATATAAATCTAAGCTCACATTTTTTTTTAACTTTTCAAATTTTTTATTTAATTAATTAGATAGTTCAACTAATTAAAGAATTMATTATAACAATTCTTTTTTTTCAGCTCATGAAAAAAATAATACATTAAATTTAAATGTGTATGTATACTATATAGATATGAGATAATAATCAATAGTGAAAAGTGGACACAATCWTGTAATTATTGTTAAATCGATTAAGCCCTAAGAAGTAAAGCTAGTTAGAAATTAGAAATAATAGAATAGGTAGTATGTATATTTAACAAAATAACATTTTATGTCTGAAAAAAAATTTAAATTTAAGGAATCCTTAATGCCACAGGTTCAAAAGGTGGTATAAACACAGTTATAATTATCTTGGTTTATGTTCAACAGCTTACGGGATTACCACACCTATCGTGATCGATAACTAATCAAATTATAAAACTTACATGGCAGACTAAATGGGATTGAAGAAGCTTCCCGTWTCAAAATCAACGAAAACCCCAGATTAAAACCCATAGATATGCCTCAAGATATTTTTCTAAGACCACCACGACTAACACAACAACTAATAAATCCGATATTTATAAAGTAAAATTTGCTATGAGTTATATCTTTGTAATAACATTTTAAAAACATAAAGTATGTTTACCAAAATCATTAAACTAATAACAAGAAAAAAAAATTAACTAACATCTTCTTGTCTATATRTAGCTTTAAACTTTCATAGTTAAATAGATCAATTTTAACTATCAAAGCTTTTGTTGTGGCTTGATGTTCTTAACGTTAAAGTAACTTATTCAAATTGTCTTAATTAACTAGACCATGTTTACTAATTTATTAAGTAAATAATGTTATTTATTAATTTGCCAATTCCATGTTATATTATAGATAGGGGTTGTAAAAAATTTTTAGTAAGTGTATTACAATTTTTTGTATTTCAGTATTACAATTTTTTGTGAGCCTTGCTTCGTATCAATTGGTAACGCTTTATGATTGTAAATATGATCTCATGGTGATAACCTAACCTTATACAGTGGTTTATGAAAAAAAAAAAATTAAAAAATACTGGTCAAAAAATGTATAAGCCTAGAATATATTATTTATTTTTATATATTATTTATTATCCGAAAAATAATAAAATATACAATTGGTAAATTAATTTTTATCATGTATAAATGTTTTTTATTTTTATTCGATATTCTAATAACATTTTTTACATATAAGTATTTAGTATATAGGTACCATGACTTTTATTTACGGTCTAATGAAATAATGTTTCGTGGAGTTGTAATTTTTTTTTTTATTGAAATAAGTTTTTTATTTTATAACTAAATTAATAATTATTATTGGTTTAATACGTGAAGGTTTATTTCTATCAGAAAATATTGTAAAAAAAAAAGGAAATATGTTAACAAAAAATTGGTGTATGATTTAGGTCAATCTCATAAATAGAAACAATATTTATCGTAATAGCTAATAATACACTTATAATAAGTATTCAATTAATTAATAATGGTTCAATAATATACATTTGTACAGATATCGAAGATATTTAAAAATTAAAATCATAATATTCATTGATTATTTACATTTACATTATAATTTTAACTATATAACTTTTTCGATAACATTAGTAGGTATAAATGGAAATTTAATAGTATTACGTTAAGTTGTAAAATATAGTATATACGAATAATATTAACACACAACTACACAAGTGTATAATTATAAGTAAAATAACATTAGTGAATATTATGATTTTAATTTTTGAATAATATTAACACACAACTACACAAGTGTATAATTATAAGTAAAATAACATTAGTGACCTTGTTCACCTGTTACCTGTCAAAATTGTCCAACAATTTGAACAACAATTATAATATAATATATAATAGATAGTATAATATTTCATATTATCACATGAAATCAAATGTAAACAAGAAAAGCAATAGTGTATGTCATAACKTAATTAAATGCATTATTTAAAAATAATAATAATATATATATATATATRTAGGTATTAGGTATTTATAATGTGTAGGCGCATGTTACATAATATTATAATTTATAGTTCAATACAAATAAAACTATCWTGTAGCTGTCTACATTTTCATTACTATTGTAAATATCCGAAATGATTCTCGTAAAAAAGTTATTATCCTTTTTTGTGTTACAATGTTTTATTACCAGCAATTACGGTTTATTATTATTCAAACACTTTTTGAAATAAAAATATATCCACTTATATAACCAAGAGTTGTATAGAAGTATCATAAAGTTGTAATAAGTAACCGGTTGACGGTTTCTATTAAAATGGAAAATATTTAAGAATCTTGGGTATATYAGCTAAGTAACTACATTGATATATAATAAGTACATATTATGTACATTTTACCAACATAATTATGTAGTTATAACAACTTTCGTGTGTATTGCGGAACTAACTATAAAATCTGTTTTCTAGACGATTGATCATGTGGATATTAAAAACAAAATAAATTAAGAAATTGAAAATAATATATAAATCATTAATAAAATATTCCAAAAACATAAACCCTCATGAATAAGTTTAAAACTGGTTYGATTGTTATGATAATAATGATAACAATGTTTTTTTTAGGATTACACTTTTATATAATACTTATATATAAACTTCATGTGCACTACCTATTATAGAATAATATAGAAGAAGTTTGTGAATATTATATTTTACGGTGACGAATCATATACAGTCATATTGATAAATACCAACACTGGCAACACTATCTAATACATTATACAAGTGATCCAACCTGTAAATCGAAAGGGTTGACGGCAGTGAAAGGAATATTATTCGGTTATATTGTTATTCGTATACTATGTTATTAGGTGATCATAAAAAAGGATGATGAAAACAATAATAGTAATGTCAACCTCATTGCCAAATACCAAATAAAGACTCTTAAAAAAATTTTTACATGCAACAAKAATAGAAAAAATATATATTGTAATCCGAAAAAATAGGTATTTGAACATAACAAGTAACAACAACGTTACTATAGGTAATCTATTGTTGTCAATATTCCAGCGTGTTATCGTACATTATTTGAATGAGGTGCCCTCAAATCGACCATCATTGATTTGATTTTTAGATGTAAATCATATCCATTTGCGATTAAATTGTCTTCGATTTACACAAATTAGCATATTATTGTGAGAACGTGACAATGACAATAATAAAGAAATAAAGAATAATGTTTATGATAAAAAAAAGAAAAAATAACGATGAAATTTAAAGTGACGGCTGGGTCATATCAAAGCATTTATAAACCATAACATTATAATTTATCCGCGGTCGAGTGAAAATAAAATTAGTGTTAAATCCCTCTCATAAGTCGAATGCCACATTAAAAATATATTACTATACCTCTCAATTTTTTAGAATTCAATCGAAATGAAATTCAGTCCCTATGTCTGGCGTAGAAATACACCCTGCAAGTAATTCRGTTGAATAAGAGTGTATTAATTATATAGAATCCGTACATCCTGTGTAGATGTTTCTGCCATCCACAAATTCTTAGTACAAAACCCAAAAATCGCCACCATGTAAAATGTGAAGTCACTTGATAAAGTGTWTAGATCAATGTAATATTTACCTCTTGGACGTCTACCACACGTGACTCGGGGTCATACATTGAGTACCGGAGGTACGCCAACCCGACGACGAACACGGGTATCATTCCGGCTCCGGTCCATGCGACGCTGTTCATGG